CACCGCTTTGTCTCGGTGGGTTTTCAACCAAGCGCTCTGATTTTCTGTGAGTGACTAGTTCTCCATTGGCACTACTCACGTGCAAAAAATCAGACCGACACCGACGAGAAAAAGCGGTGGGTGCAACTCAGTGGGTAGCTCGTTCTTCGGGGGATAGCTGAATAAGTGAACTGCTGGTCTGAGTTCCTCTGGTATACTCAATTAGAGGATGTTCCTGAAAATACAATCAAACAGCACGTAATGTTGTGTACAACTTCAACGACAGTTGTCCAGCAGTGCTCCCATTTTATTTACAACAATTCAATGCCTACAAACATCAGGGTATCATTTGACCTGGGACTGGACGATGGAGTGGTATGACAACTGGAGTCTAGGAGGGAATAAACACTATCATTTTTTTTATCCTACCGATGCGATTGTGGTGGTGTGAATTCTACTTCAACAGTTTCAGTGAGATTGACGCGCCCTTCTTTACAAACAATCCTGTAGGAAGCTTAATAAGTATTGCGAATTGTGTTATTCGATTTGTTGGATCGTATTGGAAGGAGATTCTTAAATTCCCGTGGATTTCGTGTAAGTGTCTCTGCTTACGGGTCCGCACCTCCGTTTTTGGCCCTTCATACAGCAATATTGTGAATTCAGATCGGTAGCTCAAATTGATCTTGCTATTAAGTGGAGCTGCATACAAGACAAGATCTTTGAAGGGATGGTGGCTACCTTACATACAACAATTTAATGCCTACAAGATTGTGCCGAAGATGTACCGAAGGTGTGCCGAAGGTATATCGAAGGTGTACCGATGGATGTGCCCAAGCTGTGTGGATTCTAATTTCGGCACAATATGCTGTGATATAATGATTGGAATCTACCGCTGAGTATGAAGACACCAGACAGAAACGACATTCTTCTTCCAACGCCCAAGTTCAATCTACTGAGATGAAAATCGCCATTTATAGCCGACTGCAACCACGCCACTACGGAAGATCAGGGAAGTCATTCGGCTCAGTTAAATAAGTTAAATAAACAATTAATCTTTTTGAAACATATAATATTGTAGTACTGTAGTGTGGAATGATAAATATATAATACAAAAACAATTACAAAAAATTATTAGCTAATTATAAATATTTTCAAAATAATCACACGATTAAACCGAAATCTACAGATAAGATAATGTAACGGCGAGACTACTCATATGATTTATTTGATTAATTCTAGGTGAAACACGAAATGAGATTCAAAGCGTATAGAAAAGCAAACCTATGGAACCCATGGATTGGAGCAGAAAATTAATATGGTGAGACCATTCCAAATATCTTTCACAATTAAAAAAAATAAATAAATAAACTAAATACGTGCCAGGTTCAAAAGAACATTTTGAAACTGGAAGTGTGTGTGTGTGTAATACTAATATCCTATTGATAGAGGTAATACATACATGCGGGGCTTATTGTAAGTGAAAGTAACCTCGGAATGGGCGTAACTCTCCAGACATTCTGAAATGGGTTGCTGGATCTGCAATAGAGCTATCACCTTCTAACTCCCAAACTAAAGCTGTCTACAATGACCATAACTGCGACATTGTAGGGAGAGTTCTTCCATAATAACACTGCCGGCCAGTGGGGGTTAGATGGAATAGCCACACATACACACAGTATATAGTGTAATAGCAGAAGCATCGATTGACACTAATAGCTCGATTTTGTTTACCTTTGTTACTCTCGACGTAATGAAAATTTGCTCTTGAAATGTCTTCTCAAAATTATAAATATCTTCAAATTTGGCATCCCTGTCCAGAAACCTTGGTCCGCCAGACGTATCGGTCTCCAATTTCATTCAAAAATATAATAAAATTTCAATCATGCAGTAGTGCATACCTAGTTGACACGTACTTAAAATGTGCTCACAAATTTAAAAAAATAAAAAGGTTAAATAAGTTCTCACCGCATTTTTAAAACATTTTGAAAATATAAAACAAACAAGTTTAACAACGACCCAGACATACTTTAATCTCCCAAACACATGAATTTAAGGTCTGAGTTCAAGCTTCCAACGGTTTAATTCAAAATAGCCACGTTTAACCGTTTAATAACCACGTGTTGCCTCTCTCAGAGAGTAACAAAACATGTTGTGAGATAGCTGGCAGTGTTGCCAATATAATGGTAAAAAAATCAACAATTATATTAATTACATTCAAAGAGAGGTAGGGAAAGCCAAGATCCCAATGACCTCATCCGACATGTTCCGAGTGCCTTCGAGGACGTAGTCAGAATGTTATTTGAGTCAAAACTAATCATATGACCTATAAGACTTCAAAAGAAGATCATGTTTGATCACATTTAGTCTCCAGAACAAAATAGTCACACATGTTCTGGGTGCAACCCGAGAAGTAGCCAGAATCTAACTTGAAAGCAGTGCCGGTAGTGTATTGGTAAGCGTGACTGCCTATCACCCCAAAGCGCCTGCGTTCAAGTCCAGTTGGTAGCGTCGGGATTTTCTGAGGCATAAAATTTCTGATCACACCTTCCTTCGGAAGGGAAATGAAGCCGTTGGTCCCCGGTCCATGAGTTGATGGGCCGGTAAGTAGTGTTCAAGTGTGTGGGAGCTGCCTCCCAGGCGTTGTTGGATTTGGTACTCAGCATGGAACATAAATCAAAGGAAAAAGTAAAAACAAATCTAACAAAAACAAATCTAACTTGAGCCTAAACTCATCATGCGAAACGTAAAACAACCTGGAAAATTTTATTGCAAGATCATTAGTAATCAATCAACTCGGCCCAACTCCTACTAGACATAGAATTAAGTGAATTTTGTTACAAAACAAAGAACAATGCATTATCGGCTCCGTAAAGCTAACACGATTGAGCCTTACAAATAAACGAACTAGATAAAAAAAAACTCTAACTTTTATCATGTTTAGAGTTCAGCATTACATTGACAACAACTATACATGTTCCAGGTGCTGCTGTAGAAGTGACCCGATGATATTATATAATTCATATCAATATTCAATATCATAGCTGATAATATTATACACATCGAACATTCAAAAATATGAAATTGAGTTTCCAGAACCACATTTACCGTTATCGGACTGATGATTTCTTGCCTCAAATTAGAGTAAAGTCTTATTTGAGCCACAATGCCATCATGATATATAAAAAAAATCAAAAAGAAGACCATTATCCACGTTACCTCATTGGGTGTAAAGTAGCTACGGTACATGTCGCTCACTTGGGTCTAATAAGCAGCCATCGATTGCAATTTTAATCATATCTCAACTAATCATTGACCAGGAGACGAAACTGACCAAATCCCAATGCCAACATATTTATAAGCATATCCTTTCGATAACAATAGATCATGAAAGGCAATTACAAAACTTTCCATTATCACATATATATCAGGAAAATTTATGTAATATTGGCCTACTGTTCCCATCGTAGAACTATAAATGTTTTTTGTTCTACCCCTCGAAAATAATCCTTGATATTAGATTGCTTGTTGCATTTTTTTTTAAATCACTTTTTTGTTACTATTTCACACGTTTTATTTTACTAGTAATTTCACTTGATAAATTAAAACAAAAACAAAACGGTCTTAAAACTAAAAACTTGTTGCTCTTCGTCCAGCGATCACAGTATAGCGAGAGGAAATGGCGTCGCAAAGAGCGTTGATAATCAAATGAAATAAATAAAGACCATCAGTTTTCCAATGTGGCCAACTCGTATAGGATGTTTATTTATGTATCTGCTTTTGGCAGTAATAAATGACCGAGGGATAATATCTATTTTACTTTCACATAAACGCAATTTAGTAAAATGGTTTGTTAAATTGCATATTATACATTGATCACATACTCGAACAGATTATAATGCTGATGTTAAGTTCGAAGCTTACTCCAGGTTTTTCATTGAATCCGAAAAACTCTCGAGCTATAGAAGTGAAAACTTCTCTCCTAACGGAGAAAAAAGTAACTTCAAAAAGCTGTTGGCATAGGTGTCGCGATAGCGAAAGACTCTCTAACTGGAGAAGAAAGTAGCTTTCGGCAGTGACACTAGTCAAGTAGTGAGTCAATTTAAAATCGTTAGTTTCCACCGGTTGGTACCACTAGAAATACATCCCAGCTGAAGTGACAGCTTGCCAAATCTGGCCAACATTTCACAGGTTCCATGAGTGTCTTCATAAACGGTAGAATGCGTTTTTCCAGACACTCTTGCTGGTACACTTTTGAGCCCATCGACTTTTTTTTGTGGTAAAAACCAAGGTTTTTGCGACCACAACTGCAAATCTCATATGCCAGATCATCAGCTTCCTGGCGAGTTTGCCGGCGGGAACGAACTTAATCTCGCCGGGTTCATTTTAAAAAAATCAGCACGTATCAACAAGAGGATCACTTTCAAAACAAACTGCTGTCAAAACATTTCAGAACTGACCACTAGGGGCGCTGTTATAAAATAAACTGTACTTCCGGATTCTAAGTTAACCAGGCTTTAGAGTATTATGGAAGGAACTGATACCTCCAATAGGTAAGACCCAAGAGGCTTCTTCCGGTGAACCATATCAACACATGAACTTTCATATGACGATGCAAAAAATCAATTGCCTCCACTTCGATTCGCACAAAATAATCAATCTCTTCGGAGTAAACGCAACAGAGCACTGCGTTCATTTAAGTACAACAAACATGCTATGGTATTTTTTAAATTCCCTTTAAAGATCACCGGCGGTATCTCTACTGTCATCAGAAGCGCACTGTGTTCCGACTGTCTGGTGTCATAGTGCTTACAGGTGCTGATAACGCATACCACCCGCTCCGTCCAACCCGGATCGCAATCAAGCGTGCCAATCGCTTAGAACTGCTCGAAATGATACCATACCACCAGCCCGCAGCATGATGCAATTGGCTTCGGCAGATCACGTAGACGACACCGTCTTCGTTAATCTTCGGCTCGACGATCGACTGTGGCTAGGCATAAAAGCTGATCGCAGTTCCGAGTTGTCTTCCAGTTGATTCCAAACCAGCATACTTACGGTGTGTGCTCAGCTGAGTTGAAGTCGCGAACGTCCTTTTTGACTGGTAGTGGTCTGTAACAGGGAGCCAATGAGTAACAGCAGCAAGTGATTCGCAGGAGATAAGGATTTATTTTCCAGTGTATTTGTGTGATAAGAAAGTCATAGTTAAGTGTGTCCATAACTGAGCTAGAAGTGTGTTTCGAACTGTGATCTTTCGAACTGAGAAGAGCGGAGAGCAGAACTGAGTGATATAAATACTGTGATCGATACGAATTGTGATCAAATTTCAAAACCCTCTCTTTCATTGAGTATAAATCAATATTAATTTGACTGGATTGACTACTGGGTCGGTGAATCGGGGTTTGGAGAATTGGATGGTGGAAATTGAACGTTACCAGAAGATCGGTATCTGCCTGGACGTGCCACACGAAGGATTATCACTGGTAGCGGAGCTGCAGCAAAGGCAGCAAAACCGGCAAAATTCGCTCGATTTAGCGGACTTACTCTTTTATCAGTGTGGAGGTAATAATGATCATTATTTATTTAGAGTGTAGTCTTGTAATGAAATCGAACCGGACAGATAACGACGTAGTAACCTAATTCAAGCTGACGTAAACATTGTACTGTATTGACCGGTTCGGTAGTTGCTAGTGATTAGAAGAAGCTTCTCGGTTCTTATGGATGATATGGAAACAGCTGATTCTCGAAGGACATAGGGAATTTATATTTTTTTTTTCTTGTGGAGGAATATCGTATGATATTGTATTTGTAATAAACGAAGTAAAGTTTCCCTTCCTTTCAATAAACATCCACACGCCGTGTCAGAAGCAGCGGATTAATCAACTTTATTGATGTAGGGGAAATGGATGTAATGTCGGCCTAAATGCCGCTAATTTGGACCCATACATAAATTCAGCAATCGACTAAATTTTCAATAGCGTCCAAAAATATCCATTAAGTATCGTACCTCGAGTTTTTCTTCACCAAAAGACACGGTGATCCATCATGGTTGGGCTATTTCGGTGGACTTGCGCCTTTTCGCTGGAAATAAATGAAATCTCGATGCGCATTTCGATAGGCCTCAGCATCTCTTCATCGACTTTCTCATTCATTAATAACTCGGCAGCAAAATCATTTTCCACCGTGCTTGTCATTTTATGTGCTGTACAATTCAGCATCCTTTTAATCCGACTTCCGATTATCTGACGATGGCGGCTTATTAACAAATTCAAACGTCATTATGGGTTGTGTAAACTAATACCTACACACTTAGAAATACCTAATTTTACACGTGACGGAATCCATCTTTGACATAAGGGATGAGACGTAAACAAACATCCCAACAAACAATTGCCTATTGAAGAAACGAGTTCTTGACGATTTTATTCCACTTCATGCTTAATAATAATTGTACTATTTTTAATAATAACTTCTGTTCAGGCTTTGTTCACACAAATCTGGAGAATTTATTCAACCACAACATCGAAATATTGGGTGTTGAATAAGGTATGTCGAGAAGCTTTTATTCGACTAAAAAGAGTTGTAGTAACAGAGCTTATTCGATCAAATTTTTGATTATTCAGCGTTTATTAGACATCATTTACTTCCTTAAACAGCGATGGTATAAAGGTGTATATAGACGCTTGATTCTAATGTGAAATAATGTTTAATAAGACACTATTATACATTTAATATTAAACGATTATTCAACTACGTAATAAATAATCCGAAAATAAGAACGACACAGAAGAGCAGGGTTGTGTTCTCGTTAGTGATTGTTGTGTCATTTATTTCGGGTCGAAGCACGCGCACCCACCATACAAGATCTAGAAAATCTATTACATACATACATACACACACATGTCGTTATATGGGATTCGAACCATGACCTTCCGATCACCAGCCGCTTGCCTTGCCATCTGAGCTATCCTAGATTACATCATATGGGCAGCTAAATAAGCAATAAAAGCTTGCATCTGAAAACCTATCAGCACTTCCAGCCGTAACTCTAGCTAATTCAAGGAGATGTGAGAATGATTAATTCATTCATAGTTGTTTAACATTAGACCAACGTTATCTCTCCATCTCTCTAATTTCGATGCAAAGGATGCTATTATTTTAGATAGATCTATGAATTGGTTGTCCTGAGTGATACGATTTATGATTACGATTTAAATTAACTAGGCGTAGAAAATGTATGTATGTATGTATGTAAGGTAGCCACCATCCTTTCAAGACTTGTCTTGTATGCAGCTCCACTTAATAGCAAGATCAATTTGAGCTACCGATCTGAATTCACTATATCGCTGTATGAAGGGCCAAAAACGGAGGGGTGGACCCGTAAGCAGAGACACTTACGCGAAATCCACGAGAATTTAAGAATCTCCTTCCAACGATACGCTCCAACAAATCGAATAACACAATTCGCAATACTTATTAAGCTTCCTACTGGATGGTTTGTTAAGAAGGGCGCGTCAATCGCCCTGAAACTGTTGGAGTAGAATTCACACCACCACAATCGAATCGGTAGGATAAAGAAAATGATAGTGTTTATTCCCTCCTAGACTTCGGCTGTCAATCATACCATCGTCCAGCTTCAGTTTGAATGATACCCTGATGCTCCCTCCCAACCCAGTATTTATTTATATAATGGAAATATATGCAATGGAGAAATGAAATATATCAGAACATTAAAATATGACATAATGAAATACATTTATATGGATAATATAGTTGCTACTGCAATGAAGAAGTATTTTACATATAATAAGATGCAGCTCTACACCTCCTCAGCTCACAAAAGGTGGATGCAACACTGAAATGTATAGGATATATTAAGCAATTATATATATTTTGCTCGAATGATACTAACAATAATGCTAAAAATTGTGATGAATAACTAACGTGACGAGAAATAACCTGCTTAATAATTATAACATATAATATTATTTAATGCTTCTGTTTCATATTAATTTCGATGACTTGCTTGGGTAAACTGAAATATTAAGCTAAAGGTAATAGTATATCATGCAATGTATAATTTATATAATATATGTAGTGAAATGCAAAATGTATGTATGTATGCAGGTATTTCCTTAAAACACAGAAAATATAACAAAATACCAGTGGCGTCCCGTAACCTCACTATTTACCTGTGCATTAACTTTCAAAACCAGATTTAATGCCATATTCATATTCGACTTGAAAATACACTCAATCTTCTAGTTTACTCGATATCTATCTATTGCAAGCAATATATTGATTATTATTTATGTTTTGAGAGTTCGTGCACAGGTAGATCAAGGTTAAGGAAACGCCACTGGAAAATACAGAAAACCTCGATTTTAGTCACTCAAATTCTTTACACTCAAGCTATATATGAATATTTTAATTGCATGGTATGATTGAACTCAACTTTGCCTATTTAATGAATCCACAATTTAAGTAAAGAATCAATTTGCTAAATAATCGAGGTTGTTTGAGCATACAAGAGTTATAAAAATAAGCATCAATGATTAATTCTTGAAATAGCAAAACTCTGCAAAGGTAAAACAATTTAATAACATATGGTGATATTCAATTTATTCTCTGGGTAATCCAAATTCTGAAAACCATAGATATCATATTATATTATTATAAAATAAATGTAAATAGCAATGATTTGATGTTTGATACACCTTCTGTAAATGAAAATTATAGTTACAATGATATAATGAGATTTTAAATATGTGAAATAAAAATAATTTACTAGTCATGCAATATATAATATATAATTAATGTAAAATAAACATGTACCGAAAAACAATGAATGTTTTTCAAATTTTATATTTTTAAAACAAGTACTGAGGATCCAAGAGTTAATTCGTTAGTAATATGTTGAACGAAAATTAAAGCGTTTGCACTTTTTTTTTAGTTTTGTGACCTAACTTCTGCATTTTGATTTGGGGTTACTTTGATACTGCTCGATGAATGTAGAAAAAAAATGAGTGAAACTCAAACAATTTAGTTCTTTAAATATGAAACTTTGAATGAGTATATAATCAGAAAACTTTAAAAGCAATAATAATTCAACATTGAATTTGTGATGGCTGCATCGGAAAAACATTTCATAAGTGATGGTTTGCGTGCTTTTTCAAAAGCGCGAAAAACACGAAAATGGTTTTTTAATATTTTTGTAAAATATGTAACACATACTATATAAAACTATATACAATATCAACGGAAATACCCTAAGCTACAATATGGAATCAATGTTTCTTATTTGGAAAACGCACAGAGAGTAAATTTATTCTTTATATTATACTATCAAAGTTAACCACATTATCAAAGATACCTCGTTTTACGGTACTACAAAATACAAATAAGCTCGATTTTAGTTAACCTCCGTACATTTAACTGATTTGGAATTGAAACAAAATCTTTATTATGCACCATGGAATCTTTAAACGCAATATGGAATGCTTTTATAAATATTGGTAAACTTTAATAATGAATCAATAGTCAGAAAAATCGAGGTTCTTTGGACAGTTAACAGTTTTCATGCACTTGTTATCATGCATTACAATGATGTGAACGAAGGCTGAAAAAGTGGTATGGTATTATTCAAAAAATTTTCCATCATCGAAGAGCTGAGAATCTACTTAAAGATTTAAATCAATAAATCCAGCCTAAACGGAGGACTCACGAACACAATAAGCTCCCCCGTCACTCATATTCCGAATCTGATTATTAAATGAGTATACAATTAAATATATCAACAAGTAATGGAATTTTCTCTCCGGGAATGGATAAATAAAATGGTTAATTGCTCTGTCATATAAACGTTGAACATACATTAGAGAAAATCAATCAATGTTACGTTGCTTCTTCCAGTTGTGTTTTGATCCTGTTTTAAATATTTGTTATTGAATGTATAATAATAATATAATAGGACCTGGGATTTATTAAAACTCAAACTCCACGGTGGTGCCCTTTACACAAGAATAAGCCTCTACTGCCGATGATCTTTCAAACCTGGAAACAAAAAAGCTACGAAAAAGCGCTTATGCCTTCATTAAATTCTACTCATACGCGATGTTAATAAAAAATAATAAGATTCTCTTGAATGGGTCGCGTCGCGTCGCGTATACTCCGGCCGCGGCCTAAGACGGGTACAGAATCCATAAAACATTAACATTTTTGAGCTACCGTGCCCCTTACTTCACGCTTGACGCTTTACCAGCGTAAAAGCTAGCAATGCTAAATAGTAATTACTGTACATAAGTAATACAAATCCGTATTTTTGGTAGCACTGGTAGCAAGCTCCAATTTCCGATGCGCTGCAACGTTGCTGCAACTCCGTTGTCAGTATATTCTAATACACACGTACACGCTTATGCTATACAACTAAATCGAGATCCATCGAAGAAGTGCGAGCCAGAGAGAAACGCATTGATTGGAAAACAATGAATCCCTCCATTTCCGTGTGCTAGATAGAGAAAGACGATAAAACGTTATAAAGCTCTATGCAGATGAGAATCGAA